TCATTTCAGACTGGCTAAGGTGTGCACAGCTTCAGGAGGAAATTGCAGCGTAAATCCAGTGTCTGAAGAGAAGGGAATCCCTGTTCCTACCCAAAGAAAGGTGATGGCTAAAGGCCTGAGACCTGAGTGGGGCACCCGCAAGGGGGCCATGAAGGCATCAGCGGTACAGTTACTTCAGGATCTGTGACATATATGGTGTCAGAAGTGGGATCTAGGACAATGGTGAGTTTCCAGTAAGTGCCAACAGCCCTGACAGCAAGCACTGTTGAAGGAAAAAGCACAGAGTGTCCCATAGCCTATTTGGGATAGGAATAGGGAGAGACAAATAGAAAAGGTTAGGTGTGAACAGTTGAAGAAAGGTCAGCTGGTTGAGCCACAACTAAACTCTCAGGAGCAGGTCAACTAGCTGTGCCTTAGAGGACCAGAAAAGGAGTTATGATCCAGGACAATGAGGGATACCCAGGTCACTGATCGAGTCCAACAGGCCCGGGAAATCATGGAGACACCTCTGTAGTTGGAATAAGGCAAGACAACAAAAGAGGCAACTGCCGGTTTACAGGTAGAGGAGGTGAGATTACAGTTGGAGGGAGATAAACTGGGCTTTGAAATCCATCAGTTTGCAGACTGCAAGAAGCAATGATAGCCGGAGGAGAAACAGGGCTAGCACGAGCAAGAAGAGAAGGACAGGCTGCAGCAGAGAGAAAAGTGGAGAAGAATGGGCCAGGAAACTCCTGATCCACTGAGTGGAGCCAGACCCCACGTTCTTGGTGCTACGGGTGGCAGACTTCGAGGGAATGTCTAAACCGCAATTTTTAGCCCTGTGGCACAGAGTCGCAGAGCCCAGGTCAGGTGACTCAGGTGCATGGGGCTCAGCCTGTAGGGCTGAAAAATCGCAGCATACACATGCAAGATGGGGCTGGAGCCCGATTTTTGAGACCCACCCCACTCGCGTGGTTTCAGAGCCGGCGCCTCAGCCTGAGCGCAAACAAACTGCAATTTTCATCCCCACAGTTGAAGCCAGAGGCACCTGAGCTAGGCCAACCGCAGCCATGCCCCAGGTTTTTTATTGCAGTAGAGACGTACCCCAGCTTATTATCTTATTTTAGAGGAGAGGTTGACATGGATTTATTTTTAAATGCTCTTGAAACTGGGAGTGAATTGAACATGGTGCCGAAGGAAGTTTTGGGGAATTCAGATAAAAGGGGATATGAACTGTGCTGATATTGCAACCCAAATTAGGGGGTATACAAGAAAATGGGGGACTAGTTGGGGAATTAGCACAGATGGTGAAGCTTATGAGTTAATAAGTTTGGAACAGTTCTATAAACTCTGCACCCCTGACCTGAAATCATGGTTAATAGACAAAAATCTGAGGGAAGTATGTGTAGGTGAGAAACTGGCTGATCATGTGACTAGATGGCCTGGGTTTGATTAAAAAAAATGTAACAGGGAGGGAATGGGACCAGGGAAAAGGGGTCAGGGTCAAACAGCGACCCACCCCCAGCTGGGATACCTCCTCCGGTGGGAAGAAAGCCACTTCAGAAGGACCCCAAAGTGAGTGGGGAAAGGCATTGAGTCACCTCCTCCAGGATTGCCCAATGCACCCAATGAGGCCCAGTGTTTGTCCTGGAAAAGCCACTGGTAGGTAAACCTTGCAGATAACTCTGTGGGAGAGGGCTTGTCTACATGGTCCTGCAGCACAGCATGCACTGAAGCCTTGTGCTGTAGCTGCCCTGCATAGAACCTGAGAACGCGAACTAAAGGTACCGAGTTCACGTTAACATAGTCCTGTTTCAGACAAGCCCTTGGAGGGAGGGAGTCACACAGAGAGTCCTATTCTCCTGGGTGCAGATCCATTGGGTTCGCAGTGGCAGCGGAACTTGGTGGGAGTTAATGGAGAGACATTGATGGGATGGAGAGATTCTGGAACAGACAGCACAGCGGTTAGACCCTGTGTAGTGAAACTACATCACAGGCTGAAAGGGTGACCGTTCCTAGTGTGAAGCCCTTTGCACTACCTGCAGCCCAGATTTTGATGCAGACACAGGAAGGGGCTGTTGTTTGGGATCCTGAATGAAACACCTTTCAACGTGCTTCTTGGAAGTTAGGTTATGGCTTTAGAACCCATCCAGCTTTCTCCTGGGACGGCAGAGTATCTGAATCTGACCTGTACAATTCACTATAAGAGTGTGTATGAAATGGTCAGCCAGAGTGCAACTGGAGTAGCTGACAGGGAGAAGGGTGGGCGTGGTGCGTGTGGGTGTTAGTCACCTTCCCCCTGCCTAAAACAAAGGGAAAGCAGGGTTAAGCTCAGGTGCCCAGTGTATGAAAACAGATACCTGGGGGAGACGAGGTCACCGCCCGCTCCCACAAAGAGAGGAGTCTTTTAGGGCTCAGATTTTCCTAGATGCGATAGCTGATGGATTCCTTCACCAAGTAGTTGCTGAACCAACAAGAGGGGATGCCATTTTAGATTTGGTTTTGGTGAGGAGTGAGGACCTCATAGAAGAAATGGTTGTAGGGGACAACCTTAGTTCGAGCGATCATGAGCTAATTCAGTTTAAACTAAATGGAAGGATAAACAAAAATAGATCTGTGACTAGGGTTTTTGATTTAAAGAATTTAAAGAATTAAGGAAATTAGTTAAGGAAGTGGATTGGACTGAAGAACTTGGGGATCTAAAGGTGGAGGAAGCCTGGAATTACTTCAAGTCAAAGTTGCAGAAACTATCAGAAGCCTGCATCTCAAGAAAGGGGAAAAAATTCATAGGCAGGAGTTGTAGACCAAGCTGGATGAACAAGCATCTCAGAGAGGTGATTAAGAAAAAGCAGAAAGCCTACAAGGAGTGGAAGATGGGAGTGATCTGCAAGGAAAGCTACATGTTTTGACCTCAATAAGGTAGAGATAAAGTTAGAAAGGCCAAAAGCCATGTAGAGTTGGACCTTGCAAAGGGAATTAAAACCAATAGTAAAAGGTTCTATAGCCATATAAATAAGAAGAAAACGAAAGAAGAAGTGGGACCGCTAAACACTGAGGATGGAGTGGAGGTTAAGGATAATCTAGGCATGGCCCAATATCTAAACAAATACTTTGCCTCAGTTTTTAATGAGGCTAATGATGAGCTTAGGGATAATGGTAGGATGACAAATAGGAATGAGGATATGGAGGTAGATATTACCACATCCGAGGTAGAAGCCAAACTCGAACAGCTTAATGGGACAAAATCAGGGGGCCCAGATAATCTTCATTCAAGAATATTAAAGGAACTTGCACATGAAATTGCAAGCCCATTAGCAAGAATTTTTAATGAATCTGTAAACTCAGGGGTTGTACCGTATGACTGGAGAATTGCTAACATAGTTCCTATCTTTAAGAAAGGAAAAAAAAGTGATCAAGGCAACTACAGGCCTGTCAGTTTGACATCTGTAGTATGCAAGGTCTTGGAAAAAATTTTGAAGGAAAAAGTGGTCAAGGACATTGAGGTCAATGTTAATTGGGACAAAATACAACATGGTTTTACAAAAGGTAGATCGTGCCAAACCAACCTGATCTCCTTCTTTGAGAAGGTAACAGATTTTTTTAGACAAAGGAAATGCAGTGGATCTAATTTACCTCGATTTCAGTAAAGCATTTGATATGGTTCCACATGGGGAATTATTAGCTAAATTGGAAAAGATGGGGATCAATATGAAAATTGAAAGGTGGATAAGGAACTGGTTAAAAGGGGAGACTACAACGGGTCATACTGAAAGGTGAATTGTCAAGCTGGAGGGACATTACTAGTGGAGTTCCTCAGGGATCGGTTTTGGGACCAATCTTATTTAATCTTTTTATTACTGACCTTGGCACAAAAGTTGAATGTGTCAATAAAGTTTGCAGATGACACAAAGCTGGGAGGTATTGCCAATACAGAGAAGGACCGGGATATCATACAGGAAGATCTGGATAACCTTGTAAACTGTAGTAATAGAAATAGGATGAAATTTAATAGTGAAAAGTGCAAGGTCATGCACTTAGGGATTAATAACAAGAACTATTGTTATAAACTGGGGAGGCATCAGTTGGAAGTAACAGAGGAGGAGAAGGACCTCAGGGTTTTGGTTGATCACAGGATGACTATGAGCCGCCAATGTGATATGGCTGTGTAAAAAGCTAATGCGGTCTTGGTAGAGATAAGGAGGTGTTAGTAACGTTATACAAGGCACTGGTGAGACCTCATCTGGAATACTGTGTGCAGTTCTGGTCTCCCATGTTTAAGAAGGATGAAGTCAAACTGGAACAGGTACAGAGAAGGGCTACTAGGATGATCCGTGGAATGGAAAACCTGTCTTATGAAAGGAGACTCAAAGAGCTTGGCTTGTTTAGCCTAACCAAAAGAAGGCTGAGGGGAGATACGATTGCTCTTTATAAATATATCAGAGGGATAAATATCAGGGAGGGAGAGGAATTATTTAAGCTCAGTACCAATGTGGACACAAGAACAAATGGATATAAACTGGATATCAGGAAGTTTCGACTTGAAATTAGACAAAGGTTTCTAACCATCAGAGGAGTGAAGTTCTGGAACAGCCTTCCAAGGGGAGTAGTGGGGGCAAAAGACATATCTGGCTTCAAAACTAAGGGCACGTCTTCACTACCCGCCGAATCGGCGGGTAGCAATCGATCTATTGGGGATCGACTTATCGCGTGTAGTGAAGACGCGATAAAATCGATCCCCGATGGCTCTTCCGTCGACTCCGGAAATCCACCACGGCAAGAGGCGGAAGCGGAGTCGACGGCGGCACAGCAGCGGTCGATTCGCCGCCGTCCTCACAGCCAGGTAAGTCGACCTATAATACGCCACTTCAGCTACGCTATTCACGTAGCTGAAGTTGCGTATCTTAGGTCGACCCCGCCCCGTAGTGTAGACCTAGCCTAAGCTTGATAAGTTTATGAAGGGGATGGTATAATGGGACAGCCTAATTTTGGCAATTAATTTGTCTTTGACTACTAGCGGTAAATATGCCCAATGGCTTGTGATGGGATGTTAGATGGGGTGGGATCTGAGTTACTACAGAGAATTATTTCCTGGGTGTCTGGCTGGTGGGTCTTGCCCACATGCTCAGGGTTTAGCTGATCGCCATATTTGGGATTGGGAAGGAATTTTCCTCCAGGGCAGATTGGCAGAAGCCCTGGGGGGTTTTCACCTTCCTCTTCAGCATGGGGCACGGGTCACTTGCCGGAAGATTCTCTGCACCTTGAAGTCTTTAAACCATGATTTGAGGACTTCAATGGCTCAGACACAGGTTTGATACAGGAGTGGGTGGGTGAGATTCTGTGGCCTGCATTGTGCAGGAGGTCAGACTAGATGATCATAATGGTCCCTTCTGACCTTAAAGTCTATGATTCTAGACTGCCTGAGTCCTGTCCCCCAGGGTAGGGAAAGAGGCTAGCCCTCTGCCCGCCCACACCAAGGAAGTTGAGGGAGCGCAGAGCATGGTTGTGACTGAATCCCCAGCTGCAAGAAGGGAAACCGAGGCAGCTAACGAGTACTGCCAAAGCGATGATACCAACTCCGGGATGGGAAGCACACAAGTAAAGCACACAACAGCTGCTTGGGAGATTGCAGAGGTGACTACAGTCAGGAAGGGGGGAGGCGAGTTATTCTCTCCTGTCTATAACCCCCTGACGGGCTGTGAGAACGTGAATGACTGAACAGGGTGGGAGAGGAATCGCCGCTCACCTAGTCTCTGCATTTTGGAAACTAAAGGCAAACCCAGTGGGACATGGGGTCAGGTTCTGCCTTCTCCTCCACAGAGAGCTGGAGGTGATGCCATGGGGTCTGGAGTCCCTGACCTACAGGGAGGTAGGGCATAGAAAGGAATTTGGCTCTGGGGAGGGTTAAAGATTCTCGCTTGCCAAAAGTTTGGGGTCCCTCAGTGGCTAAAAGCACTGCATGGTTAAAAAGCAGCTTTGCGAGGAGCCAGGCCTATCTGACCAGGGAGTTACTTCCTATAATTCCCCAGTGGAGGAACCTCCAAGGCACCACCAGGGCAGCCGACCCTTTGAGGAACAAAGGGTCGCCATCCTCAATCCATAGATGCCAGATGAGAGGTGGGAGTGGAAGTTCTGGGATAAGTAGGGGCAGATGAGAGCTCTCCTTGGAAATGCACCTAGGAGATTCTGAAGGGAAATGGGTCGGATGTCAAATGGTTCTGTACTGCTTGATGACCGGTACATCAGGCGTAATGAGTAAAGCCAATGCCATTTATTTGTCTGTAGGATATGGGGATGGTTTGGACGATTTCAGTTTGTCAGATGCACTGGATGACCTTTCCACCAAGCGACGTAAGTAACGTTTTGACAGGAAAATCACAATGAGCGGGCGGTGGTCAAAATGTCAGATACCAGGATTCTTCTTTTTGTCCAGGACTGGTGTGTCCATGATTTAATAAACTCAGCTGCAGCTCCTGCACCACAGGGCTGGGCCAGCTTCCCGCACTGGGCACACTGGGTCAAGCACCACGCAGGTTTGGCCCAGCTGCCCTTCGATCGTTAGGGTAGAGGGGTGGCCAAGCCAAATTTGAGTGCGTGTTGCTGAGCGCCCATATGCTAGGTCACACCACCACTCACTCAAATATGGCCTGATGGCTGGCTCCCCCTTCCCATACCCCGCATACCATGGCAGAGGGGTGGCCAGTCCAAACCTGAGTGACACCACGACCTCACGATTCCTGGAGTGGAGAGTCAGGCTTAGCCCTGTGGGACAAGAGCCAACTTTGCAGGGTGTGCATGAGGTGGGCTTGCTGGGCAACCCGCCCCTGGAGGCAGGACCCAGTTTCCCATCCCCCTCCCTTAAAACCATCCCATCCCAGGAACAGGAGCTAACACCCCCATCCTGCATGCCTGCCCCACTTTAAATGGCACTCCTATTACTTTACACACCATTTCGCCCATAACCCTTGACCTTTCCTAAATTTACCATGGCTGCTCCTTGATAAAAATGCCATGGCAGTCTTCAGCCCTAATCACAACGCACCATTGGAAAAATCACCAGCTTAAAGGTGTCCCGATATTCAGAGACACAGGCAGAAATTAATAGGAACAGGGCAGCCATACTTTTTGTTCATATTTTATTCATACTCATGGTAATACAGCCCATTACTAGCAAACATAAGTCGTTTACAGTATTTAAAAAAAAACCCCAGACTTTGGCCTCATACAATATTGACAGTATCAGGAGTTGCAATGTTTTCCTGTTACTAGAAAGCTCTCATTGACCAGAAATCAATGCAAGATAAATTCTTCCCATAAAACATCACTCTCTGTTACCTGGCGAGGTGTGGGGCACTTAGATCTTTTATTGTCACTGATCTGGGAGACCAAGCAGGCGGGAATAAAAGTTTATGGCATCTCCACATCTACAGATGTGTTATTTGCTTTATGCACTGGACAAGTCCTGTTGTGTTAGCAGTTGATTTGCCTAGTCTCTGTTTGAAGTACATAGTTTGACCGGGGATCAAATTCTGCTCTCTGCTACAGTGGACAGCAGCATGCATTATGGTAATTGAGGGCAGAATTTGATTGTGTGTGTGTAATGCCATCATTGGTGTGAGCAGCATGTAGGCCCTGATTTTGCACAGGTGCTTAACTGTACATAGTCCAGTTGATTTCAGTGGGATTACTCACATGCTTAGAGTTAAGCACCTGCATGAATTTTTGCAGGATCAGGGCCTGAGAGAGGTCTGCAAATGAAGTATAAAAGAGAGCTAATACAATGGTTTTCAATTCAGACCATGATTTAATTAATGTTGAAAAGCATGTGGTCTAAGCATCCTGTAATCTTCCACGTCACATATGGGGTGTAAGCATTCTGTGATGAATAAGCCCTTGTAGTTTATTTCTAAGTCACAGTTGACAAATTTCCAGGTGACACTAGTAACTAAGGTTTTTCCTCTTTCTTTTAAATCACAGCTACTCCCACGCTACCCAGAAAGCCATCGGGTGGAACAGGTAAGGTGTCCTTATTCATTTATCATTCAAACAAAATAATGGGTTGTTTGTCTTGAAAACATTCATTTTAAGCAATGGTTTAATTCACTGCTGTGGAGAACTGGGAAACATCAGATTTATTTTTTTATGAAAGAATGTGACTCAGTTTCCCCCATACCTTGTACCACACTCTGGGTGAAATTGCATATATTTGAGTGGGTTCAAGGGGCCTAGCACGCAAAGAACTGAGCATGGTAGGAGGTGGCCAGTCTTACGTAGAGGAGGGTCAAACCCAGGGCTGGCTCTGGCTTTTTGGCCGCCCCAAGCAAAAAACAAAAAACAAAAACCTGCGGCGTGGCCGGAGCGCGGGTGCAGGGGGACCAGCTGGGGTGGGGGGCGGAGGGAGCGGGCGGGCGAGAGAGAGAAGGGGGCAGCCAGGGCTACAGCAGGGGTGCTGCCACGCGGCCCCTCCCGCTGTGCCGCCCCCTGCCGCGAGGGCTCCGCTCCGGTCGGCGGGGAGGGAAGGAAGAGGACTGCTCTGCAGGGCGCTCTGGTTTTCCGCACCACCGCCCCCTACAGGGTGGCTGGAGCGGAACAAGAAAAAAAAAAAAAGCGGACCGTGCCGCCCTAGGATTGGGCAGAATGCCGCCTCCAACAATCTGCCGCCCCAAGCACCAGCTTGCTCAGCTGGTGCCTGGAGCCGGCCCTGGTCAAACCAGGAACTGACAGGGGCTCCAGGTGGAAGATGGGGGTCATCTGGTAAGCCATGTGAATAAGCTGTTTGTTTTTAACGTATGTTTTCTCTGTATTGCTGTTGGTTCTGAATAAGTCCTTTGCTTTTTGAAGGCTGGGTGGTTGCTGGACACCCGCTTCTAGCCTCTGTGGTAGAACAGGACTGTAGGTGCTGCACTAAGTTCAGACTTGCTAAGATGATCAGAGGGAGCAGCAGGAGGAAATTGCAGCAGAAATCCTCAGTCTGGAGGGAGACAGACCTGTTCCTGTCTCAGGCTAGAGGCCTGAGATCTGAGTCCCCCCTCAAGCAAGCCAGGAAGGGTCAGAGGTGTAGATACCATAGGAACTGTGCACCTATAAGAGATGTGCCCATGACAGGAACTGCCACATTCGACGGCTTCACTGACTTGTTACAGTAACACACAAGCTTTACAAAGAATTACAAAGGGTTTAGAAGAGCTGTGCTAGCAGGACGCTCTCATGTTATCTCTTAGCACCGGCAAGCCCTAGTCCTGGCCCAGGACCCCATCCCCATGGTGCCGCACAAACACAGAACATACACAGTCCCTGCCCAAAGAGCTTGCAATGTACAGTGCAATAGCTGCCATTTTTCAAAACTGTTCTAAACTTTTTTGAAATCTGCTTCTGTAGTGCAGGATGGACGTGTGAGCAAGGCCCTGACGGGGCTCAGGAAATCTAGGTTCAGTTCCCAGCCCTTCTGCTGATTCCTTTGTGACCTAGGGCAAGTGTCTTAATGGTTTTGTGCCTTAGTTTCCGCAGTAAGAATGCCCTACTGCCTCACATGTTTCCTGCTCGAAGAATGGCAGCCCCTTGCTTTCCTTCCGTGTGTAAACACAGCAAG